TTTTATCGCATTCGCCACTCATTACTTGCTTTTTGTAATAAACAAAAATGTAATGTTTAAAAGGAAGTTATAAGTTATGGCATAAACTACCAAATGGTTATCAAAAGCACAGTCTGTTTCTCAACTCTAATGTTAAGATTCTCGCCCGCATTGGTCTTCAATTTGAGATCATTTAATAGCTTATCATTAAAATAATGGAAAAACTAACTAAAAATTTTAAAATATTTCCAACGAATAAATTATTTTAGTTTGAATATGAGGTTAAATCAAGTTTTAATTAATTTAATGTCACAATTCCGGACGATTCTGGTTTGGGAATCGTAATACTTGTGGAAAATAGACATACAGTGTATGCACAGTATGTCTCTTATTAACATATTTGTCAATTAAATCTTCAATTCTCATGAATTAGTTTTCTCATTTTGAACGTAGAATTAATGTATAATTTATTACTTTTCTCTCTCATTACTTACCGGTAATTGAAATGTAAAATTGACGTGAATTTCTATAAATGTTTTAACACTCCATACGAGTGCACATAAAAATCCTTGACTCTCGACATGGGATTCGTAAACATTTTCTCAGATCACAAAAGGGATCGACACTTGAATTAAGAGATGGATATACGGATGAATGCACTGAAACTTTACAGAACTTTCATAATTTGATGATTGATTGAATTCTACATTTACTGTAGTATTGGATTCAATTGATTCGCTTCAGTGGCACCAAAAAATACCTGACTTTTAATTAAACTTTTTCCATGGGATAAAATGAGTAGTCTATTGTTTATAGTGAATTGGTCATTTACTTATATCGTACAATTATTAGTTATTATAAAATCTTTTAAATGTCATTTTTGGCAATTCTAATTAAAATGAGTCCATTTATACATGTATTATATTGCATTATTTGTATTATTTATTATTTAAAAATTATTTATATAAAAACAAATATTATTTATTAAATTCTCTAATAAAAGCTAAAGAAAATAATCTTAAAGAAAATATAAGTTAAAAGAATTGTTAAGAGTTATTATTATTAAAAATAGCGAACAATTTTAGAAGAATAGATGTATCGCTGTTGAAACATTATAAATGTTAAATATCTCCAATTGTAATCATTTAATAGTAAACCATTAAAGCCGTTAAGATTGGTTGCAATTCATAGTCGGTCTCTTCGGTTTGTCGTCATCGACCCCATTGTCGTCGAGCTTTCTTTTTCTCGATTTATTTGCCTATTAATCAAAAATATATTGAGTTGTCTAACAAATAATACATTAGTATTCAGAGAAACTGACCGTCAATCCAATGACGTCCACTCGTGTGCGAAGCAATTGACCCGGAGATGACTCGATGTGCACCAATCGTTGTACTCCTGACTCGGGGTCACCCGTGCTTTGCGATACAATTTGAACGCATTTGTCGGCTCTGTTCGGGTCGTCCGCCGGTAGACTCTCAACGGTCGTCACAATGAGATCACACGCCTCTGTGTCCACATCGGGATCAGTTTGGGTGTCTTTTTGTGGCGGCTTTAATATCAACTGCAGAGTGTAGTGCGGATAATACAGCTTCATAGTTAATAACACAGTTCCAGTGTTAGACATTTGTCCAATAATTTAAAGCACTTTTAAATTAATTTAAGTACACTTTTAGATCAATTTCATTAATAATAGAGAGACTGTTGTGAGTGAATGGATGAGAGGGAGTAAACAAAATGCTAGAAATCAAATGACTTCACTTCAAATGACTGACCCATAATTTATGCGCCGTAAGATATTCAACATACCTGTACTAAACCTTCACATCACGGTATTAACAGTCAAACGCAATTATTACTAATAATTTATTAGACATACAAATTTATGTATTTAATTAAGGCTATTATTGGAATTTTGTTATAAACTTCAGGTAATATTCATAATTTAACTAATTTTAAACATACGTCTTCAAATGTTTACAATGTAATCTTTACATTATGCATTTACATATTCTCAAATATTACCATGGTAATTTTCATATTCAAAAATTCTTAAATATTCCTAATTCTGTGTAATTCTTTCAATTATGAATTAAAATATCTATCAATTAGTAAACATTGTTATAAATACAGTGGAAATTAATGGACTGCACAAAAGTAAACACAAATAACTCAAAAAGTATTTGGTATGGAAATTGAGATATATCAAAATACTTGTCAACTGCGGGAGTATTTGTCATATATGCCTGACCTATTATTATAGAAATAATCTCACCAATCAAAATGTTGCGATTGTTACATGTAAATTGATTATGATAAATGTATCGTATTATCAGTTTTCATCACAAATTAGTTTTAATAAATAAAAGACTTAAAATTAAATTGCATTTTATTTTCATTTAAATAATAAATTTAAGAGAATATAAGTATTAGGACTAGTATTATGGGACTAATCGGTCATCAAATTAGAAAACATTTAAAAGTCAAAAAATAATTTAAAAAGCAATTATAAATTATACGTAAAATGTAATCAAAATAATAATTATAATAATAGTTAATGAAATAAATGAAGATTTTAGTCGAAAGGAGTGCTACTAATAGTAGTGACCACTTGTTGTCTAATAGACTTTAAATTCTTTTTATTCCTATATTTGCGATAGATTTTGACGGCACCGTAAACGGGAAGAGCGGCCACTCCCAGCACCAGCACTACAGCGCCCGCACACACCGCCAGTGACCCGAGAACCGGAACTAACATCAGTTTACTGCCAAACACAGCGCCGCGAATCAGTTTGCGTTGAACCGGTTGTGAGGCTTTGTAACGATATTTGCAGCCAAATATGCTTAGCTTCGAGTAGTGGTCGCCGAAGAACTTCAATCGCCGCAAACGATCGCCGCATTTGTAACAGAAGTCTGTCTTACATCGGGTGCAGTGCATGTGATCGCAACCACTGGTCCGCTGAATGTATATCTAGTCGATAGGGAAACAAATCAATTAATTATTTGAATATCAAGTGTTGACAATGTATTCATACCCCACAACGCGGGCACTTCTGAGCGTTGACCTGTCCGTGATTGGTCTCCTTAGCCCATGTCTTCAGCAGTCGATCGCCTTTTCTATACTGTTTGCAACTCAACTCTGAAAACGACCAAAAGTGATAAATGAATAAATATTTTCTCATTAGTATAATTGAATTAAATACTGAAAATGTGTTAATATTTTAACGATAAAATCTAAATCAAAAACAAGTTCTCATTTATAATTCAAAAATGTTTGCAAAAATATCATTAATTTACTAGAAATGAGGTTCACTTTCTGTAGTAATGTATATATAAATAGTGTGTTTCGAGAATTAAACTAACGGCTAGTTTTAGGAGCAAAACAACAACAAAAAAATTACTTTAATGTAAAATAAAACTAATCAATAATGAGTTTGTAGTGATGGCAAAGAGTGGGCTAAAGAGTGAACACAGAATATATATGAGAAGTTTGATCCATACCTGAATGCCAAGGACTGTGGCATTTGAAGCACCAGTAGAATTGACATTCCGTGCACTGGACTCTAATCAACGCAAAACATTAGCCATTAATTAACAAAACAAAATTTATAGTTATTTTTCTATTAAAAACGGGCAAAGAAATTAATTAAGTGTTTCTTCAATATTAATGCACATTATATGCGATAAAATATATTACTATTTGCTTTTCATTCGCTGACATAATATTGTTAATTAAATTACACACAAAAAGATACCCAATATTTAATTATTTATGGCATTAATAGAATTGAAAACAGAAACCCATTTATTCAAACAATTAGAGGAAATGTATTTGTTTTGAGACTTTTGTTTCGTTTAAAATGACAATTATTCTGTTCAATATATAAAATATCTAAAAATCATTTCAAAACACATTTCCTTTTCGATCGGTTAAAAGTAATTTCAAGGAATTATCAGATTTTTTGTGCAATAGATATACAAATATGCAATTATTTGCCGGTTTTAAATGTACGCTACAATCAATGCAAATATCACTTGTTATTGGAAAAGTAATGTTAACGTAAAAAACAATAATAAAACGAATAAAACTTTCAATGACTTTACATATAATTTCGTATTTCTCCATCAATTAAATGGATTTTATTCTAATAGAAAAGTAAAACAAATAGTTTATTTAGCATTCATTTTAATGATATCAATGCCTTATTAGGCGCCTATTCTTTGCTATTATATTCGGAGCAGACATTCAATTCATATAAAATTATAGTTATTTATTCGGTCTGTTTTGAGACACAATTTTGTGAGTTATTCTTATAAAAGGCTAACCTTCTCACAGAAAACACAAATCAATTCCTACCATAATATCCAACATTTAATGTAATTGATATTAAAAGGAAATATAAAAAACTATTATTTATATAATAAATTTTATTACAAACACATTAGAGTTCAGAACTAAATGAAAAATGTTTTAATTTCCTCTAAAAAATTGTAATAACATTAAATGTCTTTTAAATGTGTTCATAAATGTCCTCTAAAAACAAACATTTATATGTAATTAAAAATTTAAAGCAATTATGATGTTTGGAAAGAGAGAGAGAGAGAGAGGTCGGGCGACTTCCCGACGGGTCCGTG